GATCGATGGGCTTTTGTAATTTAGCTTTAACAATGACATAGACCAGTATAACACTAAAAAAAAATCTCGACCTCCGGTGCTGGTGTAAGGAATGATGCGCGAGTTAATAGTTGTTCATAGTACTTATAAACGGTTAAAGTTTTGCTTAATTTAGACAATTCCCCTAGCTTGTTGCTGCAATAAAAGCCGACAACACAGGAGACAACAAGATTCAAATTCTTCCCAGGTGTGGTCGAGTCTATCTCATTCTAGTTTCAAGAACCAAAGTTGGGTGTCCCCTTCAAGATGGAAGGATGCCAATCCAATTTTGTCTTCTTCGGAATGGCAAAGAGAGTGCATCCACTGATTTAGTCATCCCAACGGGTCTAATTCACCATCAAAATGAGGAAGTCTAGTTTTCCATGCCTAGGAACCATGTGACTACCATAAGCATGGTCACGCCCAAGCCTACTGGCTTTTTTTCCCGTAACCACTTGGGCCTAGGTGGATGCATAAACATTAGTAAAAGAGAGCTCCTAGGACAATGCAAGGACTCGGACTAACAGCTCCCTCTGTCTCTCATTGAAGCAGGAGTAATCCTGCTTGTGCTTTGCACAATCATGGGTGCGGTATTCTCAGTATAACTTGAGAACAGAGTTGAACTGCTGTTGGAATATCCAAAGATCAACCATGACAATGACACCTTGCCCTGGTATCAAGGTGTTATGTCCGCTATTCTGGGATCAGGTCACTGGTCTGTTTACAGAGAAATCTTCTAACAAGCATGAAGCTTGCTTATTAGATTCACATCCTATGGTCTGCTCGTAGTAGAGAACCCATGACCTCTTTGAGAGCACTCTAAAATTTTTATAATAATTCCAGATACTTCTTTTATTACAAAAGTACGTATTTACAGGGAATATTGTCCTAGAATTTAGGAAGAAACCTAACCAACTCCTGATGACAAAAACTAAGAATAATCAAAATCCTATGCTGATTGGAAATTCTAACATGAATTCCAGGTGATCCGACAGCCTAAGGACCGTATTCCAGGGGACTAAGAATTCCTAAATAGAAGCAGAGGCTAGAATCACAAGACTCCTGGAGACTCCAAACTGTTATGTGCGGTTGGCGAATAATTGTCTCTTTAGCTATTTTGAAAAGGGATAACTATCTTCTTGTGACTCCTGGAGACTCCAAACTGTTATATGTGGTTGGCGAATAATTGTCTCTTTAGCTATTTTGAAAAGGGATAACTATCTTCTATTGATTATTGATGTTTGTTCAATCTTTAGTTTTATTTTTTTTTCTCTCATTTTGTTGTTGCTAGAGGATTTCTTATCCTTCTTTCTCTCACTTTCTAGTTCTCTCTTCCTAATAATATTTCTTTCTATAGTAAAAGTTTTTCTTAAACAATCAAACCCGTTGGCTCAATTCCGATCAATTAAGAAAAGGAAAGCAACTCTCACGTAGAGTTGGTTACCTTCTCCACTCTTAACTAAGAGGATGATGGTTCAAACTTATGGAACCCTTCGAGGGCTAACAAAAGAAATAAAGGAATAGAATATAAATTAATTGGAAAGTCAGTCCAAAGCGGCTGTAAGACCAGAAGCACCAAAACCTAACCATCTAAACAATTACCAAAACACAAAATATTATGTGGAATGCATATAAGATGTATTGAAGATAGAGGATAAGCCAAAATCGGGTATAATGATTGAGAACAGACAACCTTACTGTTAAATCTTCCTCTCTGAATAACACCAAAACGATGTTGTTCGTCCACCACAGCAATACGTAAAGCAGAGAACTCCACATTATCAGCTATTAAACTGTGAGTTCCAATTATCATTGAGATGTCTCCTGTTTGGAGATCCTATTACCAGCGTGTCAATTATATGTATCTTGAAAGTTTTTGTCCACAAGGCATATATAATATGAAAATACTTACCTTACGAATCATTCGCGATTTTTTTGATGGGGTTGAACCTGTAAGAAGAGCAACAGATGGCTTGGCCTGGACCTCCATATTCTCAAGTAACTCGCACAAGTGCTCATAATGCTGGACTGCAAGCAACTCAGTGGGAACCATGAAAGCTGCCTACAGACAACTTAAACTTAAACCTAATGATAATTATGTCCTAAATATAAAAGCTAAGACATAGGGAAGGTCTGAAATTAATTATAAACAGAGCATCAACAATGAAACAAAAAAAAAGAAAGAAAAAACTTCAAAACCACTGAGATGAGGCAATGATGCCAGCTGTTATCATGAAAGAAACTAAGTTACATAAAGATATTCATATAAATACAGTAAGATTGCAATCACCAACCTGATAACCAGAACCAATAACCTCCATGCATGCCAAGAATGCAACAACAGTTTTCCCACATCCAACATCCCCCTGAAAGAACAATAAGTTAGCTGCATATCAGAAACTTCTTCACCTTTCGCAGATCAGTGAAATACTACAGAGTGAAATGAAAAACGCATGATATTATTTGACCTATTCTTAAATAGTTTTT